TGGAAAAGTCATGACGTATTTTTTGTTTTTCGTTGCAAAAATGCATCATGACTTTTCCGACAACCCAATAGTTCTTTCTGAGTGTTGAAAGTAATATGATTACTCTCCAAAACTTCAGGTTTTCGTAGCTGTGCTTCTGTAGGCCCCTAGAAACTAAACCGCTATTGCTTCTCATTGGAGAGCCAGCAGTTTCTTCGTGGTTAGGTGAATTTCTTAGATTCATTTTTTTCCTGTTTCATATGGGAAGTGTGCCGGGAGTATCACACATGGGGTGTGGCAGGGAGCTTTGGCAGCAGGTGATGTCTGATTTGACTCCCAGCTCTCTTGGGGGCTCAGTGACTGCACGAATCACTTCCTTTCCTCGCTGGTGGAACAGAGGTGCTGACACTTGCCACATGAGCTATTAGGACTCACTGCGGTAACGCTTGTAAAGTGCGTTAGTCCCCGGCTGCTCGCAGGTGCAAAGCTCAGGAATAGTCTGATGAGGCGAGTGAGGTGGTGGCCACAGTATCTGGGCAGGAGCCTGGGGGCCAGAGCGAGCCGTCCACCTGTCATGCAGACCATGAGCCTAGATGTCCAGGCTCCAGGATGGCTCTCGTCGCTTGGAAAATGCCACGGGTGCCTTTGTGATGCTCTGTGGCCAGGTGCCAAGTGGGGGACCCCAGAGAGGCCAGGTAGGGCATCAGGAGAAGCCTGAGAACCAGTGGGGCCGCCTCCGCCCCGAACATACCTCAGTGGGGAAGGGCTGGGCGCCCGGGTGCGTCGTGCTGTCTAGACATCTTGTCCTGGCTGCCAGCCTGGATTGTATCCCCTGGGGACACAGACCTGCCACCAGACTGCTAAGGGATTCTGAAACTAGGCTTGGAATAAACACACATAAAAGGCTAATTGGAGCCCTGCATTTTTAGCTAATAACGTAAGAGGGTCGAGGAACCGTGGGCTGGCTCGGCTGTGTACGCTGTTCCCACCGTTGGCCTTTCTGCCCCCCAGCACTGTGGCTGTCTGTGGGGAAGAGCTACAGACCTGCTGCCTGACGGCTAGCAGACGCCCCGGTTCCTCCCGTGACTGTTATACTGGCTGTCCCAGACAGACAAGCTCAGAAGGCTGCCTGTGTGTCTGATATTAAAAAAAAAATTAACCTTAATATCACTAGAGATAGTTATTAAGTAAATAATTCAGAATAAGGCAAAAACTAATTAGCTTTCTCTCGGTTCAGTATTTTAGTTAAATGAGATTTCTTTATGTTTACATTTTCTTTGTATTCTTACAAGCACATTGAAAGATCAAACAAAGGACTAAAAAGAAAATTACACTGTTTTCAGGTCTCTGGTATAACTGGTACCAAGATATTTTGTTTTTATAAATCTATTTAGTCTTCCCAGAAAGCAAAGCCGCTGAATGCAGCCCTGGCTATAACATTATTCATAGTTCTCTTCCCCCGACTGGTCAATTTAAGGACTGTATCCCAAGGAAATGTCTTTCCTCTCAGAACAAACAGGAACTAAAATACGCTTGCACAAAGACGCTTTCTCACTCCTTGTGACAATGAAAATGTACCTTGAGCTGAAGCATCAGCCTGAGGGAGGGGTATGGTGTGTACGGACCTGGCCTGTGCTGCCCTCTGGGGAGAGGCGGAGCGAGGGAGAAAGGCCCGCCCCAGACCGTGTGCAGTGATTGGAACCCCATGGCCCCAGGCCCCGGAGTTCTCAGCCCCCTATGCCGAGCCCTCGGTTCAGTTCCTCCCAGAGCTCCTATGACCGCCCCACCCCCTCCGCTGCCGGAAGTCGGCAGGCTCCTGACTGTTCTCAAGCCTGGGCCCCGAGCGCCAGGAGGCTGCGTCTTTCTCAACTCAGAATAGAGTGGGACAATGCGAACAGGGTGTTTGTTCACTGGCTTATTTTTTGTTTTCCTCTAAAGTTGCTTGAATTTATATAGAAATAAACCAGTTTTGAACATAATAGTAGTTCTTTTCTTAAGCTCTTAAATGTATGTTCATGTGTCATTTACAAAAACAAGCTCGAGTGTTTACACTTCTGGGTGGCGTAGCATCTGAGTAGCTGTCTCTCAATTGAGCATGAATAGCTTCCACATTTCATTAAAAATCCAAGACTTATTTTATTTTTTTAAGACTTTTTATTGGGAAATTGGGGAAGGGGAACAGTGTTGGGGAAGGGGAACAGCCAAGTTGTCCTTTAGCTAGCTCAGCTCCAAGTCCAGTCGCCATCCGGCCGCCCTTCGGCAGCTCGTGGCAGCTCAGCTCAAGGTGCCATGTTTAATCTTAGTTGCAGGGGGGCGCAGCCCCCCATCCTATGCGGGGGTCGAACTGGTAACCTTGTTGTTAAGAGTGCACACTCTAACCAATGAGCCATTCTGACCCCTTTTGGCAGCTCAGCTCAGGTGCAGCTCACAGGGAACTGAACCGGCGACCCTGTTGCTTAGAACTCATGCTCTTATGCTGTTAACCAACTGAGCACTTGACCGGCCCAAGACTTATTTTTGAGGTTCCAATAGTTGCTAGATAATAAATAAAAATCCCTCATTGTAGACAGAATGAGATTTTAGATAAGCTCAGGTTTTCAAAAGAGCACTTTCAGTTGGTAGGAAATTGTGCGTGTGTGCACTGTGCATGTGTGTGCGGGTGTGTGTGTGTGTCTGAATATCTTTGTGTGGAAGTTGGTGTGGGTGAGCTGTCCTTGAATGTGGTAGAGAATGGCAGGAATGTGGTAGAAAATGGCGGGAATGTGGTAGAGAATGGCGGGAAGGGTGGTCATAGAGCCACGGTCTGTGCTGTGCCCGCTTGTGTGTACTTGCACATGTGCCATGTGCATTTGACCACCCATATGGGCACGGGCACACACACATTCTTTCATATTGTCCTTCTTTGTCTCAACTGAGTGCTTTCAAAACTGTCATTTGGATGTGCCACAGTAGAGTTCTGTTTGGCTTTCATGTGATGGCCTCCAGAAAGACAGCAGCCACCACTATCCATGGTCCCTGGAGGCAGCAGAGTGCCCCACATACTACTTAATAGGAGTCTGGGAGGTCGGAATGGCTTGCACTTGTGGGATTGTTGTTTTTATGCTCACAAGCAGGTGGCAGACAGCTGTTTTGTTTCTCCCTAATTTGGCCTTCATTTTTGATGAAAAAGTTTGGAATGAATAGTGACTTATTCCATGGACACTCGCTTCTTCCTTGTCTCACCCCCCGGTGGACGGGAACATTAGCTGCTGCATCTCAACTTTGCAGCATCATCCAATTCCATGGGAAAGGAAAAAATGAGTGCAACCTTGTCCGTGTGTGTGTGTGTGTGTGTGTGTGTGTGTGCGTGCGCGTGCGCACATACATGTGTACACACATGTACAAACATGTCTTTGTACACGCACGCGTGCGTACACACAACTAAACTGAAAGGTAAAAATGAAGTGCATTAGAAACACGGAAGTTTGATTGTGTAGCCAGCCCCCTCTTGGATGATCATAAAGGACCCCAGTCCTGGTCTTTCTGGCACAACTTGTGAGCCTGCTGGCTTTGACCCTCTCATATGGTGGACAAAACCCCACCCTCTGTGCACTGCTCCGGCCGTGGGGACCCGCCCTGGCCCGCCGGTCCCCTGCCTGCCACCGCCACCACCCTGCACCGTAGCTCTGGTGCTTCCGGTGGAGCCTGATCTCGCTCAGCTCAGACACGCGTTCCAAGACGGTATTGATGTCATTTACGGAGACTAAGAACTTAATGAAAAGTACTTTGTAATTCAGCTGACATACACTCTTTGGAGTAATTATCTATATGGAGATTATAATGTGTCGCTCAGCACTTGTGGAAGTATCTATTGTATGTTCTGTGCCCCTGCTGTGGGACTACTGAGAGTCATGGCAGCTTCCTTTGGGGAGGCTTTCGAGAGAGGACATGTATATGAGTTATCTGTCGCTGTGTAACAAATTACCCTGCATTTAGCAGTTTACAACAACAAACACCTATTCTCTCACACGGGTTCCCTGGGTCAGGAACCCAGGAATGGCTCAGCTGGGTGGGTCAGGCTCAGCATGTCTCCGGAGGTCGTGCCATCTGAGGGTTGACTGGGAAGGGGCCGCTTCACGCCCACTCATGGTTGGTGGGGGCCTCAGTTCTTTCCACAAGGACCATCAGCTGCTTGGATGTTCTTACAACATGGCAGCCGTCTTCCCACAGAGCGAGTGACCCCAGATAGAGAGGGAGAGAAACAGATATCGCAAGAAACCAAGACAGAAACTGCTTAGTCCCTTTTACCTCAGAAGCGACATGCCACCACTTCTGCCATATCCTAGTGGTCACACAGGCCAGCCCGGTACTGTGTGTGTGTGTGGGGTCTGCACAGGCGTGAGTCCCAGGAGCCGGGAGTCATTAGGACGCCTGCCCCACACCTGTTCCTAGTGGGGTGTCAGGGCAGTGATGGACACGAGTTGGTATCAAGTCATTAGAAAGGGTATCTGAGAGCTAAGCCCTGCTCACTTTTTTTCTTTTAAGCGAGACTCCTTTTCTTTTAATTTTCACTTCTTCCCACCACACTCAGAGTGCAGAATATGAAATACACAGGCATTCGCCCGCAGCAGTTACGTCCTCCCGCCAGACAGGGAATCTCATCAACTCAACAGCGAAAAGAAGAGGCCAAGGTTATTAATGAGGGCTGCCAGGCTTCTTGTCTCATTTCTTTGACACCCGAGGCATTCGGGTCCTGCTTATTTTCTGGGTGTATATAAATATAAAGCTTGGTTATTACTGGAACCTTTCTAGAGGAGTACAAATTGCCAGGAAAACTGGGAGGCTCGGGGAAGTGAATGTCCTGGGTGGGACATTGTCCGGGGGTCAGTTAATTGTCCCGTGTGACATGGTCTTCTGTCTCCCAAAGTGTACTTGCCTCTCCCTGGTATGACTAATGGCTGGTGAGTGACTTGGAGTGGGACCCCTGGGCCCTTTGCCTAGTATGACCTTGGTGTCCCAATGAATGTCTTTGTCATCCGCAGGCAGGCTCCAGCAGTGGCCCAGGGCAGAGAGTGTGTGTCATCGATGAGATTGGGAAAATGGAGCTCTTCAGCCAGCCTTTCATCAATGCCATTCGTCACACCCTGTCCACCCCAGGGATCGTGGTCCTTGGCACCATCCCAGTGCCGAAGGGCAAACCGCTGGCCCTCGTGGAAGAGATACGGCACAGCCCCGACGTTACGGTGTTCAGTGTGAGTACCACCAGGACCTGCCCGGACCTGCACACCCGGGACAGGACCTCAAGCAGCAGGTGGCTCTAAAATATGCCTCTGACTTGGAAGTACCACTTTTCCCTCTTCTGGTAGAAGGTAGGGGAGTCTTATTTTCTAGTAGTTTATAGATTTAGAGTGCACCTCTCTCCATGAAAGCACAAACCTGCCTGGTGGGGAGCCGCCCGACAGTCAGCGGCCCCGGACACAGGACCTCGCTGGGGTCCGAATTGCCCAAGCGGCTATTTTCAGGGTGACAGTCAGGCTGGGATACAGAGGCAAGTAAGTGCCGGGTTACTTTAAAGGTTCCCTTTTGGACTGATCCACTTTGGGGAGGAGAAGCCGTGGCTCCCAGATGCTGTGGAGTGGTACTGTCCAGTAGAACTTTCTCCGATGATGGAAATCCTTTCGGCACTGTCCACTGCACTAGGCATAGCCACACGTAGCTGTTCACGTTTAAATAAGATATAACACTCAGTCGCTCAGGCACACTGGTCACGTCACAGTCTATCGGTGGCCCCAGGGACAGCTTAACTGTGGCGTCTTGCTCGGCACAGTGAGGTTTGCAGCCCGGTGGGGGCGTCACCTGGGAGCTTGTGAGACATGCAGTTGGAGCCCCACTCTGGGGCCCAGTCACCTGTTCTAAGAAGCGTCAGGTGCTTCTTAGGCCCCTGCAGTTGGAGAAGCTTTGTGGTAGCGCATGAGGTGAGTAGTTCTGTCGCGTTAGCCAGTGGCAGTGTCTGAGCCCGTTGGAAGGGACTCTGCCAGGACTGCTGGCATTGGCCTAAATACTGGCCTTTTCTTTCTCCATCGTCGCTCTGTATCCTTTAGTCAGAGACTGCCTTGCCCTCGTCCCTGTTGGTTGGTTTGTGCTGGTGACAGCCACATTCTTGGCTGGGCTCTCCCCTCCTCCAGTGTAAGAGCTCACTGACCTGCAGGTGCCAAGTGACCAGGTCAGGCTGGCAGGGCTGCCCGCATCAGAATGGAGGGTGAGCTCTAGCTGCGAAGGACCAGTGAGCACCTTACTTCACTGGTTACAATGCCATCATGGCCAGCTGGCCCTGGTGGGACATCCTTATTGTCACCAAAGCATCCTGGGGTACTTTTGGTGCAGTAAACAACCATTAGGGTTATTCCAGCCACACTTGGGAAAATCTTCCCTCCCTCCTTCCCTTCTTCCCTCCTTCCCCCTTTCTCCCCCCAATTTCTTTCCCTTCCCTCCTTCCCTTCTTCCCTCCCTCCCTCCCTCTCCCCCTGGCTGCCTCCCTCCCCCTCTGTCCTAGGCATCAGTCTGAGTCTTGGTGATGAACAATAGTGACCAAGTCCTTGCCCTCATAGAGCTGACATTCTAATGAGGGAGCTAGATGGGAAAAGTGTAAGCCAGCCATTAGGCAAGTACGGAAATCAAGAAATAAAGAGATAATAAACTAGGGCACTGTGGTAGTTGGGGACTGGAGGTGTGGGAGGGAGGTAGTGATCGGGAAAGGTCTCTAAGGAGCTGACATGAGCTGAGCCCTGAGAGCCGTGCAAGGTCACAACCTCAGTGGCCTCTTTGGAAAGTCTTTGGGGCGCCCGTCTGCAGAGCTTTACGTTGCTTCCTCTACCTGTTACTTTATGCGGCCTCCATTTTAGTTTTTAGTTGTGATTCTAGAGTTTCTGTACAAATATAGGCAACAAGTCGTGAAAGATTATGAAAGACAATTAGTTTTCAGGTCAGAGAGCTCCCAGGCTGGGAGGCTGGGAAATTGCTGGTGTTGAGCTCCAGGGATTGGCTCTCTCTGCAAATGAATCTAATCTAAAAGTCCTAAGGTGGGATGGAGTGAGCTGACTGTTCTGTCCAGGAAAATATGTTCTATCTTTAGATAACAGCACATTTTCTCCTATCTCTAAGTCTGGAAATTATTGTCCGGGCAAGGTGATCACTGCTGTGAATGATGTGTAAATGAAGTGATTAGCTTTGGGTTAATTATGTACGAGAGAGGGGCTGGCATAACACCCCCCCCCTCCACCCCCGGTATTCCTGTCTCTCTTGTGTTCTTCTGGGGCTTGTGTGGTCTTTCTCTTCCTATTTTATAAACAAAGAATCTCATTTTCCTTCTCTGCAAATGTAGGGATTAGATTAGCTGTTTCCGGGTTCTTCCCTTTCTAAAGTGCAGTGAAGTTACCTGAGTTCATTTTTGAGCTCACCTTTGCCCCTGACATAGTCCACAGAACAGGCACATGGGACACACGATCCTGCCTCTCAAGAAAAACAGACCTGGGGACTGTCAAACTTGGGGGCAGGACAGGGACGCATTAGATGAGCAGAAGTGGGGAGCGGTGTCCTGAGGGAAGTGGTCTTGGGTGGGTTTTCAAAGGAAGAAGTGGGGAAGAGAAGGGAGAGCGTTCCAGAGAAGGAAATAAGTTCTGTCAAGTGTGGGGGGCAGCCTCTCCCTGCTAACAGGTGAGCACATCGGGGCTGTGGAGATGGGACTGAACTCATGATATGGGGGCAATTACTCCACTCAAAGTTCTTCATAGTATCTAGACTCACCACTTTAAAAAAAAAAACTTATTGGGGAATTGGGGAAGGGGAACAGCCAAGTTGTTGTCCTTCAATCTTAGTTGTGGAGGGTGCAGCTAGCTCAGCTCCAAGTCCAGTCGCCATCCGGCTGCCTGTCAGCAGCTCAGCTCAAGGTGCCATGTTCAATCTTAGTTGCATGTAAGCGTACCCCACCATCCCATGCGGGAGTCGAACCTTGTTGTTAGGAGCATGTGCTCTTACCAGCTGAGCCATCCTGCCACCTGTTGGCAGCTCAGCGGCAGCTCAGCTCAGGTGCAGCTTACTGGCCCATGTGGGAATCGAACCAGTGGCCCTGTTGCTCAGAGCTTGCACTCTTATACTAACTCTTAACTAACTGAGCCACTCGGCCAGCCTGTAGACTTACCATTCTTAATAGTATCAAGTAAACACAGCATTACTTTTCAGAAGAACACCTGAGAACTTCCAGTTCTAGACAAGGTGGAATACACACCCTTCTCCCTGTTCCGCCTGCTAAGTACAGCTAACAACCTTGGACTTTCTGTATAACACAAACATAAGAAGACCTGAATGGTGGAGAGAAGAAGGCAAACACTGGTGAGGACCTCAGGGCTCAAAGAACAGCCGGACAGACAATTGAAAATCACTGTCATTCCAGGAACCAGGAAAATCAACTTGAATGAGAAAAAGCAATCAACACACACTAATCGCAGGATGACATAGATGTTGGAATTACAGGGCAGAGGTTTTAAAACAACCATCATGAAAATGCATCAGTGATCAATTGCAGACATGTTTAAAACAAATGAAAAGTAGAAAGTCTCAACAAAGATACGGAAGATATAAAGAAGAATCAAATGAAAATTTTAGCACTGTAAAATATAATAACTGAAAGAAAAAGTTGGGATGGACTCACCAGCAGAATGGAGATGACAAAGAATCAGCGAACTTGAAGGTAGAACAATAGAAATTACCCAACAAAGAATAGACCAAACACAGACATGAAGAGCTGAGCCTCAGGGACCTGTGGGGCTATAAGGAAAGATCTAACCTTCATGTCTTTGGAGGATGGTCTTGGTAATTTAGAAGCTTCTGTTGTGGTACGCGCTCTAGTACACTTGCCTTCCTGAAAGTTATGCTTCTCTTTTGGAACTTTGTTACATTTTTTTCCTCAGTCTTCTAGAGCCTACTACTCTCTAAGGATAGCCACGAAAAATGTTTTTTATTTCAATAGTTGGTTCCCTGAGGCTAATTATCAGAAAACCTTTAATGATGATGTTAGTGCTGTAGAGGCAGCTGACGGAGACTTTCATGGATCGAGAACACTCGAAAGAGCCGTGTGTATTGTTCTCATCGTCCTCGAATTAACAACATGAAAATAAGATTTTTATCCTTGCTAGTCATTGCTTAAAAAAAGAGAAAAAGTAGGAGTTTGGTCATCTTAGTGGCATTTAGGAAACATATGTCATTGGATTTCCTTTGAAATATTTCCTTAATGGAAATGCTGGAGAATGGTATCTGCTAGGGGACCAAGGACATGCCTGGAGTGTGCTGAGCACTGACTGAGGCCATCAGGGAGGCCGGCTGTCACGGGGCACCGGGAGCTGGGTGCTGTGCTCAGCGCTGCGATGCCTCAGTGCATACAGATGTCATGGTAACCTGCTGAGGGATATCCCAGCATCTCCATAGTATCAGTGGGAGGCTGCATAACTTGTCCGAGGTCATTCAATTAGGTGGCACAGCTCGGACTCTGCCCTTGGTCAGTCTGACTCCAAAGCCTGAGCCCGAGCATTATCTCGATGCCTTCATCGGGCTGGTTCAGATGATGTGGCTGTAAAATCTCAGATTCCTAGAAATGATTTGGTTTTTCTACCATATAAATATGTTACTATATTTGAAATGTATTTCACGATTCTGAATTTAGAGCCATTTAAACTTGCTCTTTCCATGAAGTGATTTTCATAGTTTTAGTTTTTATGTGTGAATCACAAGATCACAAGAATAATAGGAACTAGGTCCCAACTTCCTTCCAGTTTGGAAATTTGTAGCATCCTCTTACTTTTCCCTGCCGTGTTCTTTTTGTTTTAACCAAGCAGAGCACCAAGCACTTTAATGCCACCAGGAAGTGTGTGCTGTTCTCTGGGTCCCCTGGTCCACTCTGTTCTGTAGATACAGGGGTGAGAGCACATCTGCCAAACTCTAGGTCAAAAGTCAGGAAGGCGTTTTTGTAGAAGTTGATAAGCTAATCCTAAAATTCTTATGGAAATGCAAAGGACTCAGCTAAAACTATCTTGAAAAGAAGAACGATGTTGGAGGACTTACCCTTCCTGATTTCAAAACTTACTACAAAACTGTAGTAATCAAGACAGTCTAGTACTAGTCTAAGAATAGACACATAGATCAATGCAATAGAATTCAAAGTTGAGAAATAAACCCTTACATCTATGATCAATTGATTTTT